ATTAGAGAGAATACGGTAGGTAACTGTCTTGGCTGTCCTTGTCCGATGTACTCCGTGTTGTGTAGACCAGGTGTGCATTGGTGGTCGATTCACATGGCTTCGCCAGTTGTGTGGATTAGACACGGTTATCTGGCGCAAGTCTTGATCTGTCTCATTCAGATCTTGTTCACTATCCTTGCTATAAGAGAACATCTGTGGGTGCACATCCAGTGCATTTGTAGATTTGCGTGCTTCTCTTGCGATGGGCGTATACATGTACATGGTACATGGTGTGTGTGTGTGTGTGTGTGTGTGTGTGTGTGTGTGTGTGTGTGTGTGTGTGTGTCACGGTGTGTGTGTGTGTGTGTATGGTTATGTGTGTGTGTGTGTGTGTGTGTGTGTTAGTGAGAGAGAGAGAGAGAAAGAGGTCGTTGACCTTGTCACTATGAATCACATTTTTTATGCCATTGTTGGCTGATTAATTAGTGCTAATTGCTTGTGAAGAAGTATGTGCATATACTTGAATGGGCGTGATCAGCCCATACTCGTGTCACGTGATCAGCCCATACATCTCTGACATTGTTGTCATCTTGTGATCTTGCAAATTGCAATGCAAGCCTTGATGAATGACCAGTACATGTAGGATAGTAGCGGTAGTGGCAGTACTGCAGTCAGACTCTGCAGTAATGGTATGGTGTATGGTAGATCTGGGCCGTGAGCATACCATCACTGATCACGTGAGTAATCACGAGAGGCGTCAACAGGAAGGGGAAGTCTGGGGTACCGGGTACCAAGGTCACACACAGTAAGTAGATACTAATACCGGTATGTACCATGAATGATGTACATGTACAGTGTATGCATTCATCGGTATAATAATAATGTGTCTTAGCCCTCGGCCTGGCGCAAACAAAGACGAAAGTAGCAGGCAGATTATATCACGCTACACCTAGTAGTACGGTACTACCTGCCCTCCAGGTCTAGTTTTTATAAATCACGTGATCAAGAGCAGATCACCACATGACCTAAATTATAAGTAAAGGAAGAATTCCCGCAAACTGAAACAGCAGAATGGTTTTCAGCATACTTGTTATGACGTAATCTCAACTAAGCACATGACATGGGCCATGGCCAATGCTCCACAATTTTGTAAATACATTACTACCTCTCTGTAAGTTTGTATCCCTGGTGATGTTTGTGCCTGGAGAGCACTATAAGTGGTGCTCTTCAGGCACAATCTTCCTCAGCCTACCCAAGCTCAACTGAGTGATGAGGGGTGAATTCCCCGAAACACTGTGTATTGAGCAGGGAGTGATGCTTTCTTGCAGGTCTGCCGAGTGGACGGTTCGATGCACTTCTCGTGTGCTCTGGATGGCAGTCATGAGTCAGTCAAGTGAGAATTCTCAAGTCAGCAGGAAAACGGCGAGCTCCCATGTAGGGAGCAACACTCTCTTCCCTTACATCACTACTAGGCTGGGAGAATCCCGTGGTAGCACCGGTGCATTCCATGCTTTACTGAAACGCAGCCTAAGAAGACGTACGAATAACACACTGTATTGGAAAATTGAGTGTGGTAGCATACAGGCCGCATCCAGTCACTGACATGATATTATGGATTGGTCTGCTGGTGGTTTGTGTCTGAGATTTGAGGACAATGTCACCTTTACCGACTGTGCATTGTAGTATCATACTGATAGTCCACATCAGTGCGGGACATCGACATTCATGTACACGATTGTACAAGCAAATCCCTGAACATTAATAAACAGCGTCCGCAGCAGAGTGAGAGTTGCAGGTATACATGTACATGTACATGTTCATGTGGAGTTGAGTAATTGAGACATGTACATTGCATGAAGGCAGAAGTGGAAGGGTTACCAGTGGTTACTTGCCACCGCGGCGCCGTCTCGGACTATCGTCGGATCATGTGATCGCCAGTGTGGATCAGACAACATAATTAAAATAATCCCTTCCATTTATCTTCTTGCTTGCATGGCTCATGTGATGAAAACATCACCTAGGACTTCCGTCTGAGGACACCAGTGGATAGGTTCGAAATCACGCACTATCTCTCGCATTTCTTGGAGCGAAATCATCACCTAGCCATGCGAGACGCGACCGATGGTTCTATCAAGGCACGCAAGCTTTGGGCTCCGTCTTATCTACACTGGACAAGAACGATTTGAGCCATTCCCTGCAGTTAGCTCCACTAGTGAAGTTCGTGAGTTTTTTCCTCAGCACCGCAAGACCAGTGTTCTGTGCTCCTCCGCCGTTTGCTAGCGATGTGTCGGTTAGTAAAGGTGCGATGCGTCATGTGGCTAATGAGCCTGGGGGTTAGCTAGCAATCCTTCTCTCCCCTGCGCAGTTTTGATTCGAGATAGTAGCTGGAGAATCACCTTAGAGGTGCCCAGTTCTCCCCAATCCCTGAATTGTTCTGAGAACTAACTACTGTAGTTGCTTCCTCAGCTTGTGAAGTTGTGCTAAGCTGCAGACTGGCCGGCAGTGTTCCGATTAACCGCGGTCGGATTTCGCTAGTGCGTACTCGTACTGTGGTCCCCTGCCACGAGTATGGCATGCTGACAGTCATGACGACACTGGAACAGAAGGTGAGAAAATGTGTAGTCCACAAAATACAGATGCATGATGTATGTACAGCGCCAACAGGTACGCATAGTTTTCCAAAAGCCTCTCTTCTCATAATACACGGGCAAATGGAATTCACGAATTGTAAACCCAACGGCTTAGAAACGCAATCTGTGATTGGTACTGAGCCGAGTCTGTCACTGTAACATACGTACATGGGTATACAGTCATGTATACGTGAGCACACGTGACCCCATTTACAAGCCAGTACTGCACCGGTACGTTGGGTAAGACCGGCCCAGCCTGGGGAAAGATTTTGAGACGCAAAGGATGTGAGACAAGCAATGCTGGAATTCATCCCATATAATGCTCAAGCAAGACATCACGTGTGCTGGCCTTGACGTCACACTGTTCTACAGTAACAACATCATACCATCAACAGGAAGATTGATATCCTAAACACATACTATGTGCTTCCATAGCTTTTACTATGTTCTTCCATAGCCACTTCTAGGCTAAGCCTTCGCCGTCATGTAATTGGGTCGTCATCCCGTTTGAATGTGCGAAGTGAAATAAAAACCAACCAACCAACCAGCCAGCCAAACACTGTCAAGTGCAATGCTTGTGAACATAGCCACCTTTGCTGTCACTAGTATTCATCCGAATACTTGTACACGAATGAACATTGTTTAAAAATCTCCGCTGGCCAATATGGAATTCGTTCAATTTGTCTACATGTAGGGGAACGTTAGCTTCGCTACGAAGAGGCGTTAGTGAATTGTGCACCGCACAGCGTCGACTAGACTAAAATAAGTAATAGTATACGATTCAGCCTATAGAAGTCTTATGTCGATCACAATACGACATTGTGAGCCGGGACCTTGAACTCGCCATTGCAATTCTTCGTCTGTGAGATAGACACCACTCCTCACCCTAGAGGCCAAAACAGCGCCAAGGCAGCAGCACCGGGAACGAAGGAGTTCTGCTCCCGAAAGCACCACGTCCATTCACGCACTCTATTTACCTGACTCACACTCACACGTTTTGATGACAACGGTTTTCCTGAGAATTGCTTTGGTTAGGATGCAGGTGCAGGTACATGTACATTGTACGTGGATAGTGTAATGTACTCCCCTAGCCTAGGCCCTGGTGTTGATATCCGGGTGGACATGCAACATCCGCGGTGCCTTCCAGTGGTTATACAACTGAGCCGTGGGGCGTGGTAGGGTTGCTTTGTGAACGTATAATGTCATGCACTTGCATGAGCAACTAACGTGTTTGCTACCTCATATTAATATACGTGCATTGCAAATGAACCATCTAGTACTAGTAGACACGAGGGCACAAATGCACGTCTCTCACGTAACGTGGTTCCAAATTTCCCCCCTACCTGCCTGGGGCCGGCCAGGTGTCAATAGTTGAAGTAGACTGTCGAGTATCACTGCATAAAGACTCAAAGAGTGAATGAATGACTGATAGTGATGTAGGTGAATCCAACGCGAACACGTCCTTTCATAGAGCAGAAAATATTCGAAGAAAGAGGAATGTACATGTAGATGACGTATGAGACAGCTGACATCCAGGCTCGTAGGCGATGTGGGGCAATCCATTTTCACGTTCCATCGCAGGATAGTACTTGTCCACATACACCCTTTACTGTTCTCTTGGTGCACTGCTTGTCTGCCTCCGATCCCATTTTCTTGAACACTCGTCTACTGTGCTCAATTCAACGGTATACTGCTACCGCTAACCATTCTGTGCTTGCTAATCGTGCAGCGAGAAAGCGTTCCAATGGTAGTTGACAACAATAATGTGACATTAGCCACGTATGCTATTGACAATGTGTCAACAGCCTGCTAACCTTCCAGGCTATTGCCAACGTTATCTGTTTGTACGGTGTCTGTTTGTACTATTCGTGCTGTCTGTTTGCAATGGTTTGTAGATGTCGAAAGGCTCGAAGCGGCATTATGCAGCCTGACATCAACACACTGTAGCCATGCAACGCTCTCCCATGCAGGCATACATGTACATGTACATGTACCTGCTCAGCGATGACAGAGAGCACAAGCTCAGGGGACCTTTAGGGACAGGGCGGACAGCCTACAGAGAGAGAAGCTTGAAGCACGTCCAGCCTCGTACATGTAGACTCAGCAAAGGGAGTTTTTTTTTCTCTCTCTACTAGACTAAGACATAACAAGACAGCGGACACGGTGAGGGTGGGTAGTCAGTCTAAGAGTGACGTCGGGTCTGCCAGTCCCAAAATGCTTGTAGCGATAACAAGGGGAGAAGCTTTTAGACGGTCCTCGCGAACATACGGCAGGACCTCCATGCCTTCAAGTTGATCGAAGCGAACATTTTTTACGGTTTGCTTTGGTATTGCCGTCGTCTCGCTATGTCCCACACTAACCATTTATAGCGCCACCCACAGTCTCCTGCCTGGAGAAATGAAAACACATATAACAAGCCACCGCCAAAATGAGGCAACCACTTTAGCAGAAATGGAACTGCCGATGCCCAGATCTCCTCCCGAAATTAGTTCCTTTTCTTCGGGACGTTAGATCACTGGAACAATCTCGGAAGACGATGTTTCAGGCAAACTGGGATGGCGATGGTGCTCTGACCAACATTGATCCTAGTTGGAATTTGCTGGGGCAGACGCCAAAGGTAGGAGTGGCAACAACTGCCGACACTTGTCCTCGCCCAAATCCAATTTCACTGCTGCACCATCAGCCAATACCTCCGGCTGGGTTCGAGGCATCTCATACTACCTCAACGACGCAGTCTCTGCAAAGCCAGACGAATCCCAGCATTACAGACTCGCCGTATCTATCTGATGCTGCAGGATCCAATCCAGCATTCCACTCCTGCAACTCCGGATCCCTGCTTAGTAGAGATGACACGCAAACCTCTGCTCAGCCCACGGAGGAGGAACTACGAAGACTTCGCCTGGCTTTACAACGCAGCTCCTCTCAGATGACCAGCAGCCTTGCTTGCGACCTGAGTCGAAACATAGCCACTCCGTCGCAGATGACCAGCAGCCTTGCTTGCGATCTGAGTCGAAACACAACCACGCCGTCGCAGATGACCAGCAGCCTTGCTTGCGATCTGAGTCGAAACATAACCACTCCGTCTCCAAGCTCCTCCGCATTTTCATCAGGCCATGGTGCTCGTACTGGTATCAGCAGACCTGATTTTCGTCAAACGGCTAATCCGGTATGGTCATGGTGGGATTAAACACGTACACTCAAATTATTGATTGTGTTTATTTTGCCCGTAAAAGAGGCTGTATACAGTGCACATGCATGAAGATCAACTCGCAATTCCACATCTTTGAAAAGGGGGGGGGCTTGTATGAACAACACATCTTGTTAACAGTTGGCAGGGCATGCGAATATATGCACACATGTATTCGCATCATGGCCATACGATACTGGGCTTTGGAAATTTTCATTTTTCATTGCTATCAGGTTCGGCCTCATTTCCTCTGTGCCGAGCTGATGAGTCCACAAAGAACGAAACAGCATGCTGTCCACAGATTGAGCATACTGCACCATAGTAATCTGAGCACTCCAGGAATCTCTCCGCTCTAAAAGTAATACATTTCACCATGAGAGTACCGCATGTCCTGCTCACCCTGTAAGAAATCCTTAGGGCCTGTAGGGAATGCCCAAGTAAAATACTAAATCACCACACATGTACGTGTGCAACAAATACAAGGTAACGAAAGTTTGTTACGAGGAAGTGTTACTAAGCGCTCATCAGGGCCACTACAGCACGATCTACCACACTGTAGTATGGTGGAAGGAACCCTGTCATTGACGAATCTAGCGGAAAGGGTTCGTGGGTGAATTTCTCTACCGGGTATTTCTACACCAGTGGTGTCCAGGGAGTCGTCAAGTATTTGACGACTCCCTGGTGGCGTCCAATGTTCGAATAAATTCAGGTTGAACGTTTTTTTTCTTGTGTGCGTGCGTGCATGTTTTGATTGTCCTTATTATATCCTTTACCTTCTACATGTACATTATTGTCACCTCCAGCAGCACCACGACCTGCATCATCATAATCAACAGCAGCAACTCCAGGATACTGTGCAGGATCACCAGCAACAGCAGCTCCTGAATCCGCAAGTAGCATCTGCACCAACTATGGAGTATCAAGGTAGGCCTTGCTGTGTATACAGCTACCAGTACATGTACCAGTACATGTAGATGTAGATGTAGCGCACCAGCCCACTAGAGTACAGTTGTGTACAATCACACCCGTTAAAGCTTGGCCATGGAAAGCTCTGTCCTTTATGGTATGTAGCTCCATGTGAACAGAGGTGAGAGGACCAGCTCAACTCTGTTAGTGTTACTGCAGTAGCTTATCAAGACTGGGTATGTACATGTAAATGTACATGTAATACTCTGGGGTGAAATTAAATATGTTTTGGTACTGCTGATGATACCAAGCTACACAATGTAGAGTCAGCAGTTATAGTAACAGAGACTAAGAAACGTGTACTAGTACACACAATCCGGTCAAGCTCTTTCCCTCAAATGCCGTAAATGCATGTCACTTGAGAACATGTACCTTCATCTTGCCCAATCCCGCGGAGAGCGTTTGGTCGAGGGTTTGGAATGGCGGGGGGAGGGGAGGGGTTTCAAGTGCAAAAGGCACGCTGCAATGGAGTTTTCGAGTTCTGAAGGAGTGCCTTATGCGTCCTGTGTTTTGGCACTTCAACCTGCCACGAAGCAAGTGATTGAGGCTACTACAGAGCGGTGGGAACAGCATTCAAAGTTGAAACCATCTACGACGAACTAGGCCATGGTCAAGTGCTTTCCCTCGACAATGTTGTTGGTTACACTCTCCTCACCAAGAGCAGATCTACGGACCAGTGATAGCGTTACGAGGTCCAGAGTAATCCGGTAATGCTCTGCTGTTGCCCACAGGCACAAACCAATATCTTGCACAGCAGTATAACGATGTGCCCATATACAACAACTATTACAATGTACTGTGTATACTAGTACTTCAAAGCCATAGAACAGTAGCATATCCAGTAGGATGAATCTCGGATCTCAAGTGATCTCCATGAATGGGCTTGAAGGGGGGGGGGGGGGGGAGGGCATTGTTGGAACTCCAGTACTGTGCAATGTGGATGCGATTTGTGTCGAAATCAGTGCATTGTGCTGGTAATCTATTGTGATTGATGAATAGGCGTGTCGGGTTAAACGGGGGAGAACGTACTGGCGAACCCTGGGTATTGTTTGCACACGTACAGAAGACATGGTAAGCATTTTACCGTTCACGCTATTTTCGACGGTCGGCGTGTAGAGGGCGAGTCTACTGTTTTTTTTGTGTGTTTTCGAGACACGGTTAGCAGTTCGGCTTCTGAGTCCTGACTCCTGATGCAGCGATCGACTTGTGACGTAACCCTAGTTGGAATCTTACCGTTTCGTTCTCCCGCTAAAAAGACCTTTCTATCGTCGAAACGGTACCAACCCGACGGTATTTTGGGTGTTGGGTACGAGTACCGTTGGATCTAGCGCGTGAACGGTAAAATGCCATGTCCACACACACAAAAAAACGGTACAGGCCGACCGTCGAAAATAGCGTGAACGGTAAAATGCTAATCATGTCAAGTGATGCGCTACGTCCACCCCACTACTGGCACTACTGGCACTAGTGCATTTTGCATGTGCGTATCCTCACAGTGCACATGCTTGTGCATATTCTCGCAGTCGAGTGGTCATTTTCATTTTTCAAAACTACCAGTCATGGTTTGATTATCCCGACTTTCGATCTTGGAACATCATCAGGAACAATGATGATGGGGAAACGACGGGTATAGTGGTTATTGTTGTTGTTGTTGTTGTAGAAGTTTATTTAACGTCGCACCACAAACAGGCGATTTCGCCTCCTTTGATACATGTGGACGACAGAAGGAATGAGAGAGAGGGGGGGGGGACAGAAGTATGGAGAGAGGAAGGGTAGAAATAAATAAGCAATCAACCTCAGGGCTACACCAAAGCAAAAACGGAATGGGAACATACTATATACAAAATAGCTTCATACATATTATTGCAAAACACGTTTACTATTCTTCAGTCCGCTATACCACAGAAACACACTAGCCGAAAAGCATTTAAACGGAGCCATGATGCGCTTTTAGCAGGGCACAGAACTGAAGGTGGCTGGGCTCTGAACGGAGATCAGGCGGGAGCTGGTTCCACAGGACTGCGCCGATGAACTGCATGGTCGCTCGACCCGCAGGTCCGGGCCAAAATGGTACTCGAACGAGGTGATGTGCTGCTCCCCGAGTGCGGTCACCAGTAACTCTCACGAAGAAGCTGGTGAAGAGGGAGCTAGCTCGAGAGAACAGACAACGACGGACAAAGATGAGGAGCTTAATGTTAAACATGCCCTCCAGGGTGGTGAGGCGGAGCTGTTCAAAGATCGGGCTCGTGCGCGACCACGGTGGCAGACCGAAGAAGCCGCGGATAGCGCACTTCGTTAGACGTGTGAGGGGCTCCATGTTGCCAATTATTCTGACGGGAAAAGATACCCTGCTTCACCACCATTTCATGGTTGTATTGTCCTCGATTATTCACACCCTTTTAGTAGCATTGATGATTGTTGTTTGATGCTAGACTCGGATGGAGAACCAAGGATTTATAGGGAGAAAAAGGACCAATGAACTGCCCGTTACGCTATAATGTCCATGCGATAACATTGCATGTTTCGCATGAGCTGATTGTCGAGTATTATACTGGTTGTGTTTGTGGACATTATAACGCAGCGTGTAGTTCCTTGGTCATTTTTCTTGTTGTCTGATGGTTGGCCTAATACCCGTCAAGCTCCAGAGTAACAACACAATAAATTTACAGCTTTTGTTCAATTCCAAACTGGCATGCACCTAACAGCATGGGAGCTGGAGCAGTTGATTGACAGTGAGTTCACATGTTCAGAGTTCTTGTGAAGGGTTCAACTCACACCCATCCTACCTGCCTTTTAAAGAGTTACGCTGAAGCCCGTCAACGGACCACAGGGTTGGCTTGCTCTTGACGTCACCTGTGCCGGTGTTCATCAGACAGTGGAGCCACGATGATCAGATCCCCTCCTTTTTTCTTTTTTTTTTTCAGGAATCCGGCCACAACGCCTGCACAAATACATACGATGACATAACAAAGCCCTAAAAAATATTAAAAAAAAATTAAAATCCCCTCCTAGATCCTACACTAGGCTACAGGCTACAGTTCGTACGGACCCTGCTGACTACTGTAGTACAGGCTGTAGAGTAGCGTGTGGTGCGTAGCGCACCTGCTGCATGGCATCATTGACACTCCACCATCGCGACACAGAGGAGTGGTGGCCAAACCTTGCCAGAGGGGCCAGAGCTAACAACATTCCTCTCCGTCTCGGTGCAGCCCCTGCTCAGTAGTTATCACGTTTGTCCTAGTCTAAGCAGTAAGCATGATCTGTTTTCATCCTTGTTTTCGAGCTGTGCATGTGAACAGTAATACCGAAATGGTATCTATGGGTGTGTAGCCTGAAGGTGTGCCTGAAATACCAACCAATGTGGCAATGAGTCTCGTAGCTACATGTCTCTCTGAGGTGTTCAACTTCAAGCCATACTTTGGGCAGTCCCAATGGGGGACTATGACAAGGTCAGTGCTGAAGTGTCGCATTCGACACGACTGACATTTCAAAGCGGATGTTGAGAGGCAGTCGGGGGTGAATACATGCCAGTAGTGTCACTGAATGGAGTTAAAAAAAAGAAAAAAGTAGTTGAGTCAAGGCTGTACTACTGTAGAGAAAGCACACTGTTCGTGTTTTGTACTTGAAGACCACGTGCACAATTCGTAGAGAGAAAAGGGACGGATAACACTGTTCATGAAGTATGTGTTCATACATGTACACGTGAATGCACTACTGTATCACCTTCAAATCAAAAGTGAATGCTCCGTGATTTGTAAGCTTTGTCCGCCTGTATTCATTTTGTGTTGGAATTTCGGCAATGCACCAAATTTGTTCCTGTATTGCCCCTTCCTCCCTTTCCCCATTTCTGAATTATTGTGCCGACTTGCTCACATGTATCAAAGAAGGGCGTTATCGCCTGTTTGTGCTGGGACGTTAAATAAAATTCAGCAACACACAAAGTTAGTTATAAGCTACAGCTGAAGCCCAACTCGTTGCTGACCACCCCATGTACATGTAGGCAGCGTCACGTGACTGCATAGTACCAGTGCAGCATGCATGTACAGTGTATGACTATCAATGTACATGTACATATTGATAGTCATTGTAACTGCCTACCCCCAGTTCACCCCGCACCCGCTCCCTTCTACTATCCATGTAGGGTTTTTTGAGGTGCCCTCCAGACTTGCTGACTCATGCTACACCAAGTGCCCCACCGATGCACCTGCCACATATTCTGCCATGATCATTTCTGAACAGAAAGGAAGGACAGCTGCTGCCGAAAGCGGCTAAACCCCCGTTTGCTGGCGTACCACTTTACTGCTTTTACCGTGCCCTAATCACTTTACTGCTTTTACCGTGCCCTAATCACTTTACTGCTTTTACCGTGACCTAGCCACTTTATTGTTTGGGTTAGCACAAAGGCAATATTGATAAGAATGGCACAGGGATGACCAAACCAAATCAATAAAGGGGCTGGCACTGGCGATAGCACAACAATCATAATACCATCCAGCCGTGGCTCGGACACTGAGAACCAAGAGCTAGATAACATGCAGACATCATGCATGCAAAATTCTGAGATGCTTTTAAAAGTTGACATACATGACTGATTGTCACATGACTGATTGTACATACTTGAAGTACATGTACTGTGCTAGCAAGGTGTGCAAGCTCCAATGAAGCCACGTCCGATAAAACCGTTACTTGAGCCCATACCGTAGTGTGAACGGCTATACTGAAAGCCCTAAATGTATACAATCAAGCTACATGTACATCATCGCAAAAGCAAAACAAAAATCAATCAGATCCTGATGAGATCATGATGAGATCATGCACATCATCAAGACTATCATACACGTACGTACTTACAGCGCGGTCACTTGAAAAGGGCTCGACATCTCTTCAAATCCCTCAAGAGCTTCCTTGAATACAGCGCGTAGATGTATGTTGGACACCTTTCGGCTCTAGCTCTACAC